AACTCCCTTTTCAAACCGCAATGTCGATCAGAGGGAGCTTCCAGGCTGCTGTCACAAGAACTACGTTCTCGAACATCGTCTTCTCCGTGTTGTAGTGACGGCGGCGGTGGCGTGACACAGTGGACGGATTGGACAGCCATTTGAAGAGACAATTCACACGGAAAGTGTACAACAAGAAAATCACGTCAACGTATGACGAGGTCAGAGAAATAAACAAGAGGGAGCAAACTCACGTTTCAAATATTTATCACAAAACAGTGGAACAACAACATTTGAATCCATATCGTTTTGTCGGACCCTGATGTGAGGCTCAAGTGGTATCTCAAGTCCGACTCCTCACCCACTCGTTCAGTGTGCAAGTGGTTTGGATATGTCCGAGTAAACCCGCACTTTTTCAGGCGAGAGTACAAATGCAAGCTGATTCGGACTTATTCAACGTACAGTAAGAAATTAAGTTCATGGTCGGAACAAGAGCGAACACAAGTGCGAGTCGATTCGGTATTATCCACTTAACAGCGAGAAATTTCAAGTGCCAAAAAATTCGCACTTCAGAGGAACATTTCGATTACGTCGTGCAATAAGAAATTGCCTTCGTGGTTGGTTCAGTGGCGAGTTAACTTGCAAATACAAAAGGACTTCATTCTTTTGGGCCGAGAAGAGACGCGAATTATCGACTAAAAAGGAACAAATTTAAGGGGATGGATGGTTGAAGAGCGAAAAAATTCGCACTTGCAAACGAGCATTTCCATTATGAAACTGGGGCTTATGGACTAAAGAGTCACAAATTTGGGGGGATGGTTGGTTGAAGAGCGAATAAATTTGCACTTGCAGACGAACATTTTCACTATGAAACTGTGACTTTTGGACTATAGAGTAAGAAATTTAGGGGGATGGTTGATTGAAGAGCGAATAAATTCGCACTCGCAAACGGACATTTTTATTACAAAACTGGGGGTACAAGCGCGAGTTAATTCTGACCTATGGACTAAACAGTGATAAATTAAGGGGTTGGTTGGTTCAAGAGCGAATGAATTCGCACTTGTAAACGAGCATTTCCATTATGAAACTGCGGGTACAAGTGCAAGTTGTTTCCAGCTTGTTCTGCGTGTAGCACGAGCCACATATCGTCGCAAGAGAGAAATAGGGAAAGATGGCGTGCTATTTTTTAAGATGGAGAAAGATTGCGAAGTGATGGGCAGACGGCGCATCGATGAAAATACATGGAGAGAGATGGCGCACCGAATGAGAGAGATGGCGCACCAAGAGAGATGGATGGAGTCACAGTCTTCCCCCGAATACAACGTCTGGTCATTACAGCTGAATTCGGGTCATCTTTCAGTGTAAAAACAACTATAATGAAAGTGCGTTGTATATTCCGGGGAAGAAGGTGGATGGCGCAGGAAGGGAAAGAGATCGCGAAGTGATTGGGAGGTGTGCCGCAGCGAGAGAGAGAGATTGTGCACCGATGGAGAAACATGGGGAAGCAATGGAGATAGCAGGCGCAACGATGGTTAGCGATAGCACAACAATGGAGAAAGATGGCGCACCGAAGCAAATAGATGACGATGGAGATAGATTAGGAAAGATAGCGCAACGATTGAGATAGATCACGAAGGAGATAGATTAGGAAAGATAGCGCACCGAAGGAGATGGATGACGAAGGAGATAGATTAGGAAAGACACCTCAGCGATGGGGATAGATGACGAAAGGTCGGTAGAGATCGCGCATCGGTGGAGAGACATGGAGAGAGGACGTGCAATAATGGTTAGCGATGCCTCAGCGATGGAGAGAGAAGGCACAACGATGACCAAGATTTGTTATTGCACAACATCAGTTCCATCGAGTTAAACCTTTGTTAAGCATACCTGTCACCTGTTTCGTGCGATTCCACAGTGATGGGCGGCTGCACCGACGACGGCCTGAAACAACAATGCAATGGCGATGGAGGGATCGCGCACGAGTAATGGAGAACCTCTGGGGCAAGGATGGAGGTTGCCCGGTTGTCGAGAGAGATCGCGCAGTGATGGAGTGAGATGGAGAGTGATCACTCAGCGATGGAGGGAGATCGTGCAGCGATGGAGAGAAATCACTTAGCGCTGCGGTGGGATAACACTGGCCAGGGCTTCGATAGCGATGGCCAATGCTGCGGTGGAGAGCGATGGAACGCGTTACAATGCAGCGATAGCGATAGCGATGGCAGCGATGGAACCGCGATAGCGATTGCGCAGCGATGGCGCACCGGTGGAGAGCGATGGCGCAGCGATGGAACAGCGATAGCGATGGCGCAGCGATGGAACAACGATAGCGAAGGCAGCGATAGCGATAGCGATGGCAGCAATAGCGATGGCGCACCGATTGAGAGATGGCGCAGCGATGGAACCAACGTTGCGATGACAGCTATGGTACTAGCGTTGTGATGGCGCAACGATGGTCAGCGCTGCGATGAGAGCGATGGCGATTGTCAGCGCTGCGATGGTCAGGCGAGCGCGACGGCTGCGATGGGGGATATAGCTTTGCGTCGCGATAGCGATGAGCTAAGCGCATCGATGGCGATGGTGCATGGCGAGCGTTGGTGATGGCGATGACCTAAGCGCATCGATAACGATGGTGCATGGCTAAGCTCATCGATATCGAACGCCGTTGACATTTGCAAAATGTCCGAATGACAGCGACACCGGAACTTATAGATTTCCGGTGTTTTTTACCTCGGCGCACAATGAATCGTCGCGCCTCAGCGGGAAATAAACCGTCGCCTGGCCTCGGCGCGCAACGAACCACCTCGGCGCACAACGAATCGCCGCACCTTATAGATTCTTGCGCCGGACCTCGTGCGTCGGATCATGCCGATCGACGGTCCAGATTACAACTGCGAAAATGACATTGCCTGCCCCTTGTTTTCGGGAACTGTCACACCATTGCACGCGGGAGTAGACGGAGATTTTGGGGCCACTGGCATAACAATGGCTCCGTTCATCTGTGCGGTTGAAAATTGTTGATTGACGGCTCACAATTTCCGGTACCCCTTACCGTTTATAGGCCCTGGCGTTTTATGGGCCCAGGGGTGCGATACGCGAATCGATTCGGCCCCACCTTGATAGCGTTTTATGGGCCCAGGGGTGCGATATGGGAATCGATTCAGCCCCACCTTGATCCCGACGCGAGGCCTGCTGCAACAAAGTATAAAAGGCGTTGCAGCCCTGGGGTTATCCCTTTTGTTGGCACTCCACAGATCAAGTCGCACTATCGCTTCCGCGCGCGTTTTGATATTTGGTCTTCAGCCCCCCCCACCTTCCGCCATGGCCCGCTCACTCTTCGCTCTTCGCTCCGTCCGCAGTTGTCACATTGTGTTCGGTTCGCTCTTCGCTCTTCGGTGTTCGCTCTTCCTAGCTCGAGCTCCCTCCACCATAGCTGGTTTGGTGGTTGGTTGCTCGCTCAACGCACGACGAAGGTAAAATCATATAACTTGAGTTGTCCTATTCTGTGTCCGACGTCTAAATACATTCGCGGATGCCCTGTCCGTACCTGCAGGATATAACGCCGCAGCCGCGTTCTATTGAACCCCGAATCAATTCCCGGTTTTGTTGTTTCGCAAGTGGACGTGCTCTGATCTCTTTTCTCCACCCTCCACCTCCGTCCGCCATAGCCGATCCGTGTTCCGCAGCTCAATTACCTTTCGCCATAACCACGATAACGTTCGTATAAATCTGCTCGATCCCCTTCGCAACTTGCAATCATCGCTGTGCATGGCGAACCCCGAATCAATACCTAGTTTCAACACTGAACACCGAATCAATTCCCGATTTTCGCGCACCTGTCCCTTGTGAGGTCGCCGACCTGACATCTACATATATATATATATATATAAAGAT